AAACTTAAACTTATAAATTCTTTCAGGCGGACCATTCAATGCTGAAGAATTTCAAGAGCATCCTGAGCGATTCTTGTCACGGTTTGCCACTGAGGTATGCGGTTAGTTGATCTGATAATGCGAGCCAGATTCCCAACCTGAGCATTAAGATATATGTGTTTGAATCGTTTCAGATCGCACCGTACGCATCAGTGATCATAAATGGTGTTTATTGGGAACAAAATGCGGCACGTCTGATCACAATACCGGATGCTAAACATCTGCTAACGCCTAAAGCTCCAGGTCCTGAAGTTCCCGGATGCCCAACACTTCCGCATAGGTGACAACATACTTCCCTGATCAGTTACAAATTTTCAGCCTTCTGTCAACTTTTTGAATGATCCAATAGAAGCGATAAGCATTGAGTTCAGATTGATCGCTTTATGCGACATATCAGCTGATCCGGGTGGTTCGATCGAGTTCATGAATGAGTGCACCACTATTGATCGACCGTTCGCTATTTATGACGCTGACCTGAACCAGTGCTCGGCGAGGTTAGCTATATCACTTTTGTTCCAACAGAATGAAATCCTATCGGATGAGCCAGCTGAATTCGAACTTAACAGATAAGCAAATCACCAACTTCCCTCAAGCAGTGTTCTGAAACCACTTGTAGGAAGGAATTTTGCAGTTTCGATACTCCGAGCGGTTGTTTGGTGTGCAGCATTGACAATATGCCCGCACAAATACCATATGAGGCCACAGAAGCATTCGGTGATCTTCTGTATCCGTACATTACCGATATGGTTCGTTTCAGCATTAATTCACCTACTATTCATTCATTTCAATTGTGACACAGTCGTATAAGTGAGTGAGTCAGCTTTTGAGCGACACTCTTTAATATCATTATCCATAAAAAACTTACATAATCGAAAACGCATAATTTAAAAGTCAGTTATCGAAACGCAATTCCTCAAAACTATCAAATTCCTAGTTGTTTGATAAATGATATTATCAATATTTTTTTCGAACACTTTTTTCTTCAGTTAAACTGTGCAACGGATCAGCCATTCGATCAACTCCATTGCTGTGATGACATCAAAAATGCAATTATCACCAACGATGGTGCACTTACACCCAAATTCGAATATATCGCCGATTTGCGACGGAAAAGGTGAATCGGAAAGTTTTATTTTCTCATCAAACACATCCTTACACTCTTGAATGGACGGCGCATTTCGATCAATTCTTTTTTGAAAAGGTGAGAAGGGAGGGATACCCATCTAAAACACTAATTTTTAACAAATATTTCCAAGTGATATCT